CCCCCCTTTTGCCTTTTGCGGTTCTTTTGTACAAGCATACATTTTCTATTTTGATCTGTCAGCCTATCACTGCACGTGAGCGGGTAGTGTGTGCGCGCGCGCGTGTGAGCAGTAGTCCTACCCTACCCTATTAAATTATCAACGTTCTACAAGAGTGGGTGTGCGTAAAACAAAAGGAAGAAAAGTAAAAAAAAAAATATATAAAAAAAGCTCAGTGTGTTTGTACCCTAGATTCTAGATCTCGAATTTAAGTCCCTAGCCTATCTAAAAGTAATTTCCTTCCCACTTTAGCGGGATTGTATTATCAGGACAAAAGACCCGCGCTCTATCTTTCCCGTTTCGAGAAGCCAATAAGTTGTCTCTAGCCTGAGCTTTGCAAAATCCACGAGCAAATTTTCGCAACCTATGCCTCACTGCTTCGTGCACAGGCTCAGGGGATTTACCTTGATCCTACCTCCGGCTAAAGCCTTTCACTGTCTGGAACCAAGGCCTGAATCTTAGATGTGTAACGGTATGCAGCGGCGGGTAAGGAACAGGTAAACAAACGACAGTCAGTAGGCACCCGCGAACTGGGAGCACTCTATTGTTCCCCCTTTCTGTAAGTTAACTAGATTCTAGATCTAACAGAGATTCAAAAGTATTAATCTCTTACCTTCTCAGTTGATCAAACCAATCCTTTTAACAAATGAATGTATTGTTTAGGAAATCTCACATATAAGTTGATTCTTTACATTTTCGGAGCAATGAAATTCACAAGGAAAACATTCCGCATAGAATCACCAAATCCGTCTGCAAGAAAGAACACTCCGTACCGCCGCGGATCTTCCGCGGGTTTGTATGAAAGCGGTAACAGCTGTGTGGAAGTCTCGCGCTCGCTCGCGGAGAGAGCTGTGTGACCCCTGTTGGGGTCAACTCCCTTGCTTGCCAAGACAACGGGTTTATTGCAAACTTTAGCGGAGTTTTATTTTTGGCGTGTAAAGTTACCTCGCTGTTTCCGGGATTTTGTTTCTGTGGGGTTTTTTGTGTTTTGTTTTTGTTTGAATTCTTTTTCATTTCAAGTTTGTATTTTGTTGTTGCTTATAGTCATTCTCAATTTTAATGGATAATTAGGGATAACTGGGTACGATTGAAGAGGGGGGGGGGGGGTGTTACACACACTAAAGTAAAGGCACTTAGCATCCACTCTCACGAAATCGGGAGCAGGGTCCAGTCCAACGAATATCAGTACAGAAGGCAAAATGGACAATGAAAACGATACAACACGACGAGGTGTACTCAACAAGGACATGGGGCAGTGGGTTGTCATTTCTTCGTTAGTTTATGTTTTGTTCGTGTTGATGTTTCTGTGTTTGCTTTGTTGTTGTTTTTTCGGGGTCAGAAGGGGGGGGGGGGTACGGACCAAATAATTAAGAACAATTTGAAACTTGCCAAAATCATGATCACATGAAAATATAGAATCTAGGCATATCTGCCTACATAAAAGAGAGCAGCCAGGTTGTATAAGAGAAAGAAGTGAGCGTTAGCATCGTCACCAGACCCATACTCGAGAAAGGCAGAACCAAAAAATAAGGCACCAACAAAATAAATAATTTTAAAAAAGAACTGGAACTGCCAGCAAACCCTGTCATAATATTAATATGTGGTTTGAGAGACACAATCAACAGCCCTGAGCGCTGTGTGGAGGACTGAAAGGTTGCCTTAACTTATTTTGCACGCACCAAGACACTGAGTTTAATTCAGTCGTAGACCGTGAAATTGGTCTACAAAGTAGAAGATTTCGAGATCTGAACCACAGTGAAATTTTGCACAAAAAAACTAGATCTAGAAATCTAGAATCTAGATCTACATACATTTATTACATTGCAGTGTCGGAATTTATTATCAGTTTGAACACGGCACAATACCTCTGTAGTTTTTGTGGTTACATTCTACATGTAGATCTACCTACTACAGTACACTTGGCAAGCCTACTTGGGGCATACCACCTGTAAATTGTTAGAAAAAAAATTATGTCTCTTATACAATTCTACGTCAAGGCAATTAAATC